CAGGCGCCCTTTAACTCCTTAATTTCTGTTTCCTCGTCTGCAATATGGGGATAATGTGGAGTTGGAAGGGCTAAATACGTTGTATCCCTGTCAACCACGTTTTGAAACAGATGAGAAAGGCAAAGCAGCCAGGCAGAGGGGACACACTGAGGCTGGTGTTGACAAGCGCTGGGCCACTGAGCAGATCGTCGGCAGGCAGGCAGATCTTGTCAGCCTGGCAGGGATGGGAGGCTGGCCGTGGTGGGAGGTTGGCGTTACCCACAAGGGCGTAAGTTTACACGCAGAGGCGAGTGCAGGGCCGGCCACCGTGGCGGCTCACACAGGTCCCGTGAAGCTGCAGGCTCGCTGCAGGCATAGGGATGGCAGGCCCTCCGCTGGATCTCCTTCAGCTCCCGGCGGCGTGTGCAGCTTCGAGAAAGCACAACTTCCGCAGGCCCCCCTCACGGAACTTGGGGTGTGGAGGCAGCAAGAGACAAACGTGGGTGCCGGTTTATCTCCACTGGTCAGCCTTGCTCTCTCTCACTTCCCATCCAGCTTGCCTTCCCGACCGCCCCCTGTGGCCTGAGGGCCCAGCACGGGCGCAGAGAGGCAAAGGCCCGTGTAGACGGCTGAGCCAGCTCCCGCGGCCGTGCGAGGTCCCACCCTGATGCTGAGTCCCCTCTGCTCTCTCACCCACCGGGCTGTGTCCGACCACACTCCCTATCCCGTCTGCTCGGAGCCCGCTCCAGCCAGGGCAGGGTGGGTGCTCGCGGCTAAGGCCAGCATGCGCAGACGCAGGCCCTGCACACAGGGGGAGCCACACGGCTGCAAGGGCTGGGGGACGTGCGGCCCGGAGCTCCGGCTGCCCTCGCTGCTGGTCTTGCCGCTTTTACTGGGGTTCCTCTCATGCCCCCTACTTCTCGAGCTCTGCCTCATCACTGCACTAAAGACAAAAAAGTTCCTGCTAGCTCGCAGACCTGCTTTCTTAATTAATTGCCTCTTACCCTCTTCCTTTCTCTCCCCGGGGCCGACCTTTGAACAAAGGAGATGCTGAGATGCAACGGATCTCGAGCTAGAGGGAGAAGTACGCCCGCCTTCGCGGGGTGGTCCTGCTTCCGGACACCCCTGCAACCTCTCCCTCTCGACACACGGGGCCCCGTGGCCTTGTCACCTCCCACCCCTGCAGGAGGTCTCCACGGGCAGGCCCCACGGCTGAGTGCTGGGGAGGCAGGTGCCCTTGAGGACACACGCCCCACAGGGCACCGGGGAGGACCACCAACTTAACCTGCGCTCGATCCACAAATAAAAACCGCACGCGCTTTTGGCAGACACGTCTTTTATTCAGGAATACGTCTTGCCTCCTGGTTCCAGCTCCGCCGGGAGTGATGCCGTGACCGGAAGCACTCTCGCTGAACACCCAGTGGGAGAACGGAGGAGCACCCCCCCGCCCCGCCTCTCTCAGAGCGTCCCCTGCGCACGGTCACGGCCCCGGTAGGGGAGGGCGAGCCCTCCAGCGTGATCACCCCTGCAGGTGCGTGCCTCCCACTGAGGGCCAGGGGGCCTACTTTCCGTAGCCACACATCTCTATTTACTCTAATCATATTGTAGAAATCGGCTCTTCCACGCTAAGATTTACAATAAAAATAAAATAATTTGCTCTGTAAACTATAGTAGAAAGTTTGAAGTGTCTTAAAAACAATCTTCCGTACAACGGAAAAAGGCTTCTGTGTTCTGTTCTGGGTGACAGGGGACCCAAGTGGGCGGAGAGAAGCTGCATTGGCGTGTTGCTGGAGACACAGCGGAAGCACTTCTGGAACACGGAGACTTGGAAAGAGGACAGAGCCACTTTCTTCCCCTCGGGCTCGACGTCCAACTCTCCTCTCCCCGCAGGCTCTTCCAAGATGCTCAGGGCTGTTCTGCCGTTGCCTGGTCCTTGGCGGCGGCGACCAGCTCTGCGAGGGCGGGGAAGCTCTTTATGTCCTTTGTTGCCAGGCCCATCTTTTGTATCTGCAAAGGCCATGAGAGCGAATAAAGGCCCCTCGGTTTCAGCTGAATGCAAACAAAAGACCCTTATACAGGACACTCAGAATATCCACCCCCAGCCTCTACGAACCCAGAAAAAGGGCGCTCCCCAAACACTGGTAGAGAATTTTTCCCTTCACAGCAAAGGACTGACTCATGGTCAAGCTTCACTTTTGGGGATTAAACACTTAGCATTCTAAGGAGCCAGAATGTTCATTTATCTCAGTCCGTCACACCAGGCTCTTACCAGGCATAAGAGCCTCTTTTGTGCACTGCAAAAGAAAATTCACACAAAAAGAAGAATAAAGTGGACTGTTAAGTGGCGAGTTTTCAAAAAAGCATTGGCCTGAGCTCTTCATTTCTTCACACGCCACCAACAACCTTTTCTCAGAACCTGATGAGCTGCAGACGCTGTGGCAGAGCGAGCACCGTGGATTACTGTGGTAACCGAGTCGTGGCATACCGTGTCCCCGCTTTTGTTAACAGCAGCAACAAACCATACACACACGCACACGGAAACCTGGACAAATCCACACCAAGTATATAGATAGCATCTGTTGGCACGTTGCCGCTCATCCTGGGGACAGTGCCATTTCTATTCGTCCCCCTGCTGCTACCCCCCACCCCTCCCCTTCTTTCTTTGGCTTCTCTGTTCTTCATTTTGCTCTAACAAATTGTCTTGCTTATAAAAAGACTCTAAGTTTCTCTTGAGAAATAAAGAAACAGGGCAATGGACTTCTGCCAGAATGAATCTCTAAATTCGCCTCAAAGCAGCAAAATGGGGATCTCCAGTGATGACCCTGATGTGCAAGAATCCTCAGTGAGCTAGAAAGCCGAGCATCTCCTGATGGAGATTTCAGGATCTCCCTTCTTTTCCTCTAGCAAAAGACCTTCCTGGAGGACCTGCGCTATACAGCGAACCTAAACAGTTTAGAAAGCCAGCTTCTCAAGGGCGAGGAGTTTCACGATCCTTGAGCAAGTCACCTCAGTGTGAACAGAGGCCTGGCACAGAACCCGTATCTGCCTCCTAAGTGACATTATGTACAGTAATACTCATCCATCCGCTCTGACTCTAAAACCTGTGTTTGATGGAAAACAGAAAACTCAGCCAGGGAAGCCAAGAAGTTAGGCTCAGACGATTTCTCGAGGGCCACAATGAGAAATCCATGGGCTAATGCTTTTCTAGTTATTCTAACCACCCGATCACGTCTTGGGCACTTTCCAGGAGGTGGACAAATAGGACACCATCTCTGTCTGTGAGCTCACACTCGAGTGGGCCTCATGAACATGAGCACCCCTGAGCCAAGCAGAGGTTGTCAGACCTCAACTGTCAATTTTTAGTATTTGGTTATGCACATCCTTTTCCTTCGGGTATTCTGGGGCCCTGACCCACTCTTCCAGCCCCAGGAGTGGATACCCCCCGCCCCCTCGGCAACATGTGTGGGTTCAGGTGAGCCGCCAAGAGACCGCTGGGCCTGCAGAACTCTCGTCAGATGCACCGGGCTGATGATGGCTTGGGGCTTACCTGCTCTCCCAAGTACTCCACATCCAAGGCCAACTGCAGCCTGATTTTGTCATCATCGCTCATGCCGCCGCCACTGGGACCGACGGGGTTGGCGGGACTGCTTTTCCTGGCTTGCTTCAGCCTTTTCAGGCTCTCCTCCATTTTCCTCACCGAGCTCAGAACGTCTGACACGGTTTCGTAATACCTGGGGCATGAGACACACTCACTGGTGAGACCGAGGTGTTTGTGTGTATCCCCAAACAGATGAACTGGCTTTGTGGACCAAAACAAGAGGTTTTTTTTTTGTTTTTTTTTTTAAGATTTTATTTATTTATTTGA